GGCTTTACCAGAACAGGACTAAACCTGATGATTGCATCCCCCCACCCCCACCGCGTCCCCACCCCTGCCTCTCCTCCCCTGATGATAAGCATCAGGAAAGGCACAGAAGGGGTAGATGGGGTCCCCTGGTGACCAGAAGTAAGGGCCTGGAGTTTCTTGGTAGAAGAGTGGATGAGGCTGACCTTGCCATTTCTTCACCAGGCCCCAGGAGCTGGTCGAACTTGGGGAGCTCTGCTATATAACTGGCCTTGTGACCTTGACCAGACACTTGGCCCTCTGAGCTGTGGTTATCTTTCCTCCTCACACCATTCACCCAATAGGGCCTGTGGGGATGTCGTGAGGATGGTGCTTTGTAATCCTTAAAATGCTATAGAAAAGGGGAGCTGTTATGTCAAGCTTTCTTCTGCCTCTGAGAACGAATTGCTCACTTTTTAGAGATTTATTTACCGTCCCGTTTAGGCTGGCGGAGGACATACCTTTGACACGCCGACCTAGTTGGCTCGTGGTCTAAAAAAGTGAACCGATGGCTGTCCATGGTTGCCTTTGACCTCCCTGGGCCAAGCAGAGGGCCGGCCTTTGAAGGGCTTGTAATGGGGCCTGGCCGTTGGGTGGTGCAAGCACCGAAGTTCTCCTCCTGTGCTCCCTCCCGTGCACTCATTTTTTCCTGTGTTTTTAACATTTGTCTGTTTACCGCAGAGACAAAGGGAAAAAAACAGCCGTCTGTGTTTGCAGCAGTGATCAGTTAGCTCTCTGCCCAGCACCGATTGCTTTTCTCGGGCTTCCTCTGATTTAGGGGGACGGAGCTGCTGGTGTTCACCAGTCCCAGTGTCCCCCTGGGGTAAGGCATCAGACTGACCAGCCCCAAGCGCACAGAGCTGACGGCTGGGTGCCTGCGCCAGGCAGGAGCCGGTCCTTTCTGGTGATGTCGGGGGCTGATTGCCCCCCAGCCCCCATCCTGTGGCCTCTTTCCACACGTGGCTGCATCTGTGGCTAATGGCCTTCTTGTCGTCTGTAGCCATCCTGGAGGTGTGCCTTCTCCACTTGTCTCCTTCTGGGCCAGGGGCTCCCTGCAGGAACGGGCCGTTCCTAGACGTGCCCACGTTGCCCCAGCCGATCTCACTCTGTAGGTGTTCTTGGCATGTGTGTGAACATACCCATTCTGAGCGGGCTGGCATCCATCCCAGGTCTTTTTTTTTCTCAGGCATCAGCAGTCACGGAGAGCCAGCCCTCATCAAGGAGAGAGTAGATGTGACCTCTAGAAGGGAAGGTCTTGACAGATGCTGGAGGGGACAGAAGTTACCTGAATACATGTCAAGGCTGGGGCCGCTTGGGAAGAGAATGCAGTCAGTCGTGCTAGATGATGAAATGGCCCCTGCTCTCAGGGAGACTACGTTCTAGACTGTATCTGAAGGGAGATGTCAGCTTAAGAGAAGAGCTTTCTAATGATTAAAGCTCTCTGAAAGTAGAAAGGGGCTGCTTTGTGGGGTAGGGAGTCCCCAGGCATCAGGAGGTATTCAAGGAAGGGCCACCTTGGTGATAGCTAGGTGGTAAAGTAGATAGAGCTCTGGACCTGGGCTCAGGAAGACCCAGGTTCAAATCCTGCTTCAGGCACTAGTTGTGTGATCCTGGGCAATTCACTTCAACGCTGTTTGCCTCAGTTTCCTCATCTGTAAAGTGGGGATAATAATAGCACCTACGTCCCAGGGTTGTTCTGAGGGTTAAATGAGATATTTTAAAGGGCTTTGTAATCCTTAAGAAAGTGTAGACTCTGGATATGGAAGAGTGAGGGAAGAGGCAGTGTGACTCAGTGAGGAGGGCCCTGGATTTGAAGTCGGGGCTCATAGTTACTGCCCGTGTGACCGTAAGCAAGTCGCTCAGTTTCTCTGGGCCTTAGGCTCCTGACCTGCCCCTCACCACCCTCACTGAGCTGGGCCCCACGGCCTCTCTCTCCTATGCACACAGTTGATTCTTGGGTATTGTGTGTTGAATGACTGTGTAACAGGATTATTTGCTGAAAGCATGGAAAGGTTTTTCCCCCTGGGTCTGCTAGGTTTCTTTTTGCTAGTTTATCCTTTTTCAAAGCCCTGGAATGGCTAGATATCAGCTCGGAATGTCTGCCTCCCACGTGGATACCTCCTGGAGGTCTTCACACCTTTCAGGGCCTAGCTCAGATGCTGACCCTCTATCATGCCTTCCCTGATCTCCCTTCCCTGTCAGATTTTCAGTGATGACCAGAGCAGAGGCAGGGATGATGGGACCAGGCTGTGACCAGGTCCAGAGCTCCTCAGTGGGCTGGGGGTGTGGCCACTTGATTCTTGACCTTGAACTTGGAGATATACTCAGCTCAGTTTCTCTCCAGTGTCCTTGGCTGGGACATGGATGGACAGGAGCTTGTGGGATTTGCAGATGCTATGAATCTGGGGGGATCGGTGGCTGATTCACCAAAGGACAGAATCAGGTCTCAGAAAGACCCACCAACTGGATTTAACAAGGTGGAATCAGGCTATGGGGGCTCTATGGGTGAAGTTTTGCATTGTGGACCAGATTGTCCACCAGTCATGTGAGGTGGGGGAGATGTGGCTCAGTGAAAATACACATGAGAAAGGCCAGGATTGGTCAGGGGAGCACCTAAAAGGGAGGCCATGTGGGGTGTTCCAATCTCCGTTGTGTGACCAGGCCCAACTCATTCACTTCCACATTTTGAAAAATGTTAAAAAAAATGTTTCAAGATGCTACTCGTGGCCTGGCCCCTGCTGTCAAAGAGCTGACCGTGGCCCGGGGGCTTGTGCGAGGCAAGAACCACAGTCCCCAGGAGTCACGTAGGCTCAGAGAGAAGGGCCAAGAATCCTCCTTTGAACTTGTGTAACCCCTGGTGTGGACCAAGCGTGGTTCTGTGAAAGGTTGCCAGGTTCCTGACGCTGGCGGAGCCTTAGATGTGACTCCAAGAATGTGGCCATTTCCTGGCTCTGGACTCTCAGCTCTTTGGCAAACGGACCAGGGCCTTAAACCAAAATATTCCCGAGATTTGAGTGGAAACGCACGGGCCTGAAAGGCCATAAACTCTTGGGGAAAAAACATGTAGGTTCCAGAGAATTGTCCTTTTCCAAAACCAGGCTGATCCTTTGAAGGGAGAACATCTGATTTATGATCACGGACAAGGCCTGGGCTCTTTGACTGGTCAGTGGCCGTGCGTGTAAGAAGAAACATGACATCATCCTCGTCAGTCATCAATAGCACTTTAAGGTTGGGGAAGCGCTTTCTATATTTGCTCTCTCATTGAGCCCCGCGACGGCCCTGGGAGGTCGATTCTTGTTTTACAAATGAGGAAACTGAGTCAGGGAAAGGAGAGAGCCTCATCTAGTTCTCCTTCCTAGAACTCTTCTCTTTTTGGAGAGGTGAAATCTCAGGCCGTGCTTGGTATCATCTTTGATGTTCTGTGTTCCAAGAAACTTGCTCAGCTCTCTGCCATGAAATGACCTCAGTCTGCCTCTGAGGGCCTTTCTTTGATGTTGGGACCTCATCCAGCCTGTGGATCGCTTTTTCTTTTTCAAAAGCTGCAGTGCCCTACTTCGAATGGGCATTTAAAATGAGGCAATCAATTCAACAATTCAATTTAATAAGCATATATTAAGCACCTGCTGTATACCAGGCACTGCTAGTTCCTGGAAATTTGAAGACCAAAGTGAAAGTCCCTATGGTCAAGGGGCTTATAGTCTACAGTGAGGATACAACATGAGCACAGATGTATAGATAGAAAGGAATTTTTGAAGGAGGGGGGAAGGCCCAGCATTTGGGGGACTCGGGGAAGACCTTGGGTATGCATTAGCACCTAATCTGGGTCTCAAAGGGAGCTTGGGATTTCAGCCTGTCAAGCATTTATTAAGTGTCAACTGTGTGTAAGGCATCAAGTTTGAGAGATACAGAGCTAAAACAGAAAACAGTCCTGCCCACAAGGGGCCTCCATTCTACCCCAGGGAGGTATGGCAGCAGGGATGTGTGTCTTTCCCCGGATCCTTTCTCCTCTCTCTCTCTGTCTGTCTCTCTGTCTCTTTGTCTTTCTCTCTTCACTCCCACCTTTCTCCTTTTTTCTCTTCCTCTTCTCCGCCCTACCCCTCTGTCTGTCTCTCCTCATCCCTCTCTCTCTCTCCCCCCTTCCCCCATCTCCTCTTCCTCCCCTCCTCCCCCCCCTTTCTCCTTCCCCCTCCCCCCTCTCCCTCTGCACCTCCCTTCTCCTCTCCCTCTTTCCCTGGGTTCCTTCCCTCTTGGCATCTTCATTTATTTGCCTCCCTGACTCAGCCTCGGGCCTGCCAGCATCTGTCTGTGGGCCAGCAAGCTGGACCTTGAAGAAAGAACAACCAGGAGACCCATAGTTCACCTGAGATGTTTCTGTTCATTTGTCCTCAGAAGAACTTTTTGCCTCAGAGAGAGGGCTGACGAGGGGACTAAATGTTTAGAGTTGGAGATGTCCTTTGTAACCAGTTTCATGTCCATAAATTAGGGAGGGCAACAGGGCTGGGACGTGCCTTTCATCAGCACGGGGACCTGCCAGTGGGGATGCTCCCCACCCCTCCCCCCCCCCGCCTCAGTAATGCTCTTAGAGGGCTCAGTGGCTTCCCCAGGGTCCCAGAGGCAGGATTTGAACCCAGGGCTTCCTGGCTCTGAGGCTGGCTCCCCAGCCCCCACGCCACATCCACCACTCTCTGTAAATCATTGTTAGGCAATGTTATTTATTTCTGAGTGCCTCCCAGCTCATCTTTTTGAAGCCGGGAGCTGTGACTTGGCCATGGGTTCTGGTGTGGCTGGCCTCCCGAGGTCCTGCTCCCGCTTCCTTCTGCCACGTTGATGTGGAAATGTCGACTGCCCTGGGACCTTCCCCCTGGTGTTCCCTCAGCCGCATGTCATTCAGGAGTGGTTTCTCCGCTGTGTCTGAGGGGGTTTGGCCCGGTGTCCGCCATGTTACCCTTGGGCTCACGGCTCCTTTCTGTGCTCTTTCTTGACAGTGAGTGACCTCCAGGAAGAGGGCAAGAACGCCATCAACTCTCCCATGACGCCTGCCACAGTGGACATCCACCCCGAGGACACCCTTCTCGGTACAGTCTCTGCTTCTTGGCTAGGAATGTTTCTGTGCTTGGGGAGGGGGTGAGGTGGGGGGATAGACAGAGACTGGGACCAAAGAAAGCATTGATTTAGGGCTGTGAAGGGCCCTGTGCTGAGTGCTGGGCATAGACATACAAGCCAACAAGACAGACCTTGCCTGCTCCCAGGGCGCTTCCATTTTAATGGGAGAAGACTCAGATAAAAGGGAGTTAGAAAGCAAAGGGCAGTGGGGTTAGGATGCCAGTGGAAATTAGAGAAGGCAAGGAGTGATGCAAGGATTTCTTTAGGGTTAGGAAGCCCTACCTTGGTAGGTTCAGATCCTGCCTTGGACACTTACTCCCTACGTGACCATGAGCTTCACTTTCCTCCCAGGGAAGAGGAGGGGGTTGGGCCAAGCAGCCTCTGGGGTCCCTTCTAACTCTCAGTCAATGATCCTGCGACATTTTATGCCTCCTGTGATCGCACAGCCAGACCTGGAGCTCGGAACAACCTCGTGGGCCAGCTGGTTCATCTCCCTCATTTTACAGATGGGGAAACTGAGGCCTGGAGAGGGGGAGTGACCAGTGCTGCAGTTCTGAATTTTCCTCCCTTTTTCTCAGCCTTTGCTAAGACGGAAGGCTTGGAAAAAGGGGTTTGGAAATCTCGTAAGCCTCGGGTTGGCTGGGTGATGGCTCTTCTTTTCTCCTTCCTTTTCCAGTGCCGTCCGGCCTCTGAGGGCCGGGGGCCGCTCCCAGGCTTCCTCGTGGGCCTGGGCATCTCCTGTAGAGTCCCACGGGGGCTAAGATGTCTGTGTCTTTGCAGCCAGTGTACTCAGGTACACAGCAGCTCTCCAGGTTTACAGAGCCTTTCCCCACCAACGCCCACCCCCAAGGAGGGCTCTTACCCCATTTTACAAAGTGGAAACTGAGGCTCAGGGCATGTGACTTGTCCAGGGTCATGGAAGTAAGTGTGTGAGGCTAGATTTGAACTCAAGTTTTCTGTGTCCACTGAAAGACTGGGTGGTGCTGTGGACAGAGGGCTGGACCTGGAGGATTCCAGGAAAACCTTGAGTTCAAATCTTGCCTCAGATACTCACGTAACTTCTCTCAGCCTCAGTCTCCCCATCTGTAAAGAGGGGATAATAGTAGAGCCTACCTCCCAGGGTTGTCGTGAGAATCCACTGAGATAATGTTTGTAAAAGTGCTTTGCAAACCCTAAGGCCATCATTGTTACTATTCTCTCATCATGGCGCTACAGACCCGTTACCACTTTTGGAAAAGTGAGCATTTTGCAGATGGGGTCGGATGGGCCCTACGAAGGTCACACGCCTGGCCTGTGCCACGCTCCTTGCCGAGGCCGTGCCTCGTGGTCTCCACTGCCTTCTCAGCTTCCTGTCCGTCTGTGGGGTCGGGGGGAGGGGGGGCAGGGCACCTGGCTCTAACTGTGGGTCCCTCTTGCCACCCAGCAGAAGAGAATGAGGAGCGGACGATGATTGATCCCACCTCCAGGGAAGACCCCAAGTTCAAAGAACTGAACAAGGTAGGCGGAGCGCGTGTTCTAGGAGCTACTGCTGTGGGGTCTGTGGCCAGCGAGGGGAGCTGGAAGGTCAGTAAATGATGACCCACAGCATCGGGGCTGTCCCTTCTTATCTGGGTGGTCTCGGTTTAGTCTCTTAAATTGCCAGCCTCAGTTTCCCCCTCCTCTGTGAAGGCCTTTAAAGATACCTTCTAGCTTTAAATCTGTGATCCTTTGGGCAAGGCTCTGGGCTAGGTGCTGGGGGTTTTAGAGGTGAAAACACAGGGGATCTCTGCCCCTAAGAGCTTCCTGGAGCTTGGCGGGTGGGGAGCCCTCTACAAAAATAAGGATAACATGAGGGAAAGTGTGAGATGGGGAGAGGTAGGGGCATGGAATCACACACCGTGCACTGGAAGGAACGGCAGAGGCTGGCTAGCCAAGATGGCTCATTTTACAGATGAGGAAACTGAGGCAAATGGGGTGAAGTGACTTGCCCAGGGTCACACAGCTAGTAAGTGTCTGAGGCTGGATTTGAATTTAAGTCTTCCTGATTCCCAGTCTAGGGCTTTCCGTTGTTCAGTTATTCATACCACACTTAACTGTGTGACCCTGGACAAGTCACTAGAAGCTCTCCCTCCCTACTTTTGTTTCTTGTTCTATAAAATGGGACTAGTGATGTCTGCCCTGCCTCCCTCCCTCCTAGGGCTCCTGTCAGCTCTAGAGACTATAATACACCGTATGAATATTAATTATTGTTATTAGAGAGTCTAAGTTGTCAAAGCTGAAGGGCATTTAGAGGCCATCTGGGCCAACCCCCTCTTTTTACAGATGAAGAAGCTGAGGCCCTGAAAGGCCAAAAAGTCGAATAGATAGTAAGTGGTCAACCTGGGATTTGAACTCAGGTCCTGAGGCTTCACTCTCAGCACTCTCCACCACAACCTGCTGCCTCCTGGAACCCTTATTTTACAGATGGGGAAAGTGAGGCCCAGAGAAAGTGGTCTGTGGATTTGAACCCGGATCCTTGAACTTGGAATCCCAATGTTCTTTTCCCGCGACAGCTATACTTTGGGAAACGATGACCTTTACAAAGAGAAGTGAGTGGGAAGCCTGATGCGTTCCCACTTTGTTGCTGTGTGTTGTTTATTTTTATTTGTCAAGCATCTGTGGCTGCTTTGCAGAGCATTGAAGGAATTGGTTTGATTCCCCTGCTTTGAAGAATGCAGTCCCATCTGATGGTTATTATTTATCCCCAAGAACAGGCAGGACGGACAAGGCTGTCAGCTGGAGGGTGTGCTGTGGTGCGGGTGGGTGTGGGTGAGTGCCAGTGGGGACTGGGCAGCCACGAAGCCCTTTCTGTACATGCTTTTTAGGCCGTTTCCGCAGACACCTCTTAAATGTCTGTCCAGGGAGATAGAAAGCTTACAAAAGATCCAACTCCTGGCCTCGTGGAGCTGACAGTCTAGTGGGGCATAGTGACTGCCCACCATGTGTACCGGTGGGGACTTTGCATGGGCCAGAGACACATACGTCCGTATTTATACTCAAGTTTCCCTATGCGTGTGTGAGTATCGTGACATGCGTACGTGTAGGGACATCTCCACTTCAAATGTTCACGTGGACTATTTGTGCCCGGCCTGTGATGTTTTAATTCTCCCTCCCCATCAGGACTCCTTCTCTGCCCCTGTACCCTCTTCCCCGGGGTAGGCTGTCTTCTTACAACAAAGGGAGAGCAGCCCTGGTCTTTGGTAAAGGTCACTTTGATGACACCCCCACCCCTGCCCCGGGTACCTCTGATAGTCATCTGCCCTCTATGGAGGGGGGTGGTTTGGTTAAAATGAAAAGAGATTGGACATTCTGTGGTTCTAGAGGGGGCAAGGGCGGCTCTCACTCTTCATGTTGGATAAAATCAGTGGGAAGTATGCCCTCCTGTTTAATAAGCACCTGGACGGGAATAGCTGTAATTAGTGCTGCTGTGGAGGGTCTTCTGCTCCACAAACAGGCTACGTAGCTCCTCTGCTCCTCTGTTTTGGGTGCAGTAAGGCACTGAGAAGCAGCAGCCCCTACAAGGAACCGTGACCTCCTGTATGTACCTGGGGCCACTTGGGGTGCCAACTTAGCACCGACATTTCCGAAAGGATCGCTGAGGTGTCTCACTTGCTGTGATAAGGCTTCTGTCCTTCCTTAGTGGATCTGAGGTGGGCTGCTTTGCGTGCATTTGGAAGTGATTAAAACCCAACTCCGAGGGCTCTGGGGGGAGGCAGGGTGTGGAACCCCATTGTCATTCAGAAAAGACTAATGGAAAAATCATGTTTTATTCTGGTTCCAGTGGCCCCAGGGGCCACTTAATGTAAAGTACAAGAAGACTTTGCCAAGGATGTGAGAAACAGAGGGATGAGGCATTCTCTTTCATCCTTCAGATGGATAAAAGAGAGGCCTGCCTGGAGAGGAATAAGTTGTCTAGAAATAATAATTGGTGTCCTCTTCTCAAAAAGTAATATGTGAAATGGGTTATTGGAAAAATGGATGAGGCCCAGAGCTGCAAGGGACTGCCCAGGGTATGTAGCCACACCCTTCTTCTTACAGAGGAGGAAACTGAGGCCCGGGGAGGGGAAGTGATTTAGGACTGTAGGTGTAGACCAGAGGTGGGTGCGGCCCTTTGACTGAATCCAAACTTCACAGAACAGATCCCCTTCATAAAAGGATTTGTTCTGTAAAACTTGGACTCAGTCAAAAGGCCGCCCCCAAGGACCTAGAAGGTCACATGTGGCCTTGAGCCCACAGACTCCCCACCCCTGGTGTAGACCCTGGAAGGGACATTAGAGGCAGAGTCAGAGGCACATCTAGTCCAACCTTCTCATTTTACAGATGAGGAAACTGAGACCCTCTTTCTTTATAATGAGGGCTATTTCCATTGAGTCGTGTGAAAGAATAAAATCGTTTCAACCCAGCCAGAATACCCGGCAGATTTGGAGTCATCCCTACCTGTAGCCACTCTTCTAATACAATCTGCAACATTTGTTAAGCACCTATTAAGCGCAGGTAATAATCCAAGGCTGCTGTGACTGGGGCTCCCTGCCGTTTGGACTCATCCCTCCTCTGCTTTTGGCCCACCCTTCCCAAGGGCTCGCCTTCTTCCCCCCAGCCCTTTCCATCCCTTTTCTCTGATTAACCTGAGAGCCCAGATAGCCAGACGAGCCCTGCACAGAGGCTTGGCAGAGATGTCTACTTTTTATTACTTAGACGATACCCACAGAGAAAAATCATCTTTTAAACTTAGCATGTGTGTGTGTGTGCATGTGTGCATGCACGCACGTGGGAGAGGGCACTGAAGGTCAGGTGACCAAGAAGGTCAGTGGGGATGACATTCCCCTCCTGACACAATAAGGTCTGTCCTTTCGTCTTCATTGGCCTCACTGTCCCTGAGCTGAGCTGGCCACTGGCTTTCTTCCCTCTTTATTCTAGTCTGATTTCATGATGTACTTGGGAGGTATATATGATTTGTTTCACAGAAATTTACTTTATGGTTGATTTTGTGAAAATGAATCTGCCTTAGTTCTAAAGGCACACATACTCTCTCTCTCTCTCTCTCTCTCTCTCAGTCTCTTTTCCTCTTCCCCTCCCTCTTTCTGTCTTTTTTTCTCTGTCACTGTCTCTGTCTCTATGTCTCTGTCCCTATTTTTGCATCTTGAAAATTTCCTTGAATCTTAGAGTTTTATTTATTTCTTTTTCTTTCAAATCTGGAAGGAATATTAAAGGTTATTTAGTTCATCCTTCCCCTGCCCCCATCGTACACAGGAGAAAACAGATCTTGAGAAATCCAATGACATATATAATGTCACTTGGTAATTAGTAATGAAGCTGGCTCTTGAACCCAGGGCTCCTGACCCCCAGTTGTCCCCATTTCCTTCCACTGTCCTGCACTGCCTCCCCAGAAGGGGTTGGGTGTAGCTCACATATTTTGGACGGATCAGCTTGCATATGTCCACCCTAACCCAGTCATTGTTGATGTTTTATACAGACATAGGGTGTTTTAGAGGATGCTTGAGCTCCAACACTATTTGACTAACAGATTTCTATAAGAAGCTCATGCTCTTTTTTCATGGACTCCATTAATAGACTGATGATGCTCTTTTTTCATGGACTCCATTAACAGACTGGTGACGCTCTTGTTCAGTTCCTGAAAACATTTATTAGGCACCTTTTGTTTTGCAAAGCAGAGGTGCCAGCCCTCAGGTTGTTAGGAGACAAACAAAAGAGCTTCTTCCTGGCCATAATGAACTGCTTTGGAAGCTTTTGGCCAAGAAGGAATGTTTTGAGGAGGCTGGAGCTTGAGTCCGAGGATCTGAGTTTGAATCTTGATTCTGTGGCTCACTCCCCCCTGACCTTGGAAAGATCACTTCTCTCTGGGCCCCAGTTTTTTCCTCTGTAAAGTGTTGTATTTCTAAGACCTCTCCCAACCCTTAGTCCCACAAGTGGTGTCATACCTGAGCATTTCAAGGCTTGCTGGTCACACATATGGCTCTAGGGCAATTTGACATTAATCTGGAATGGCTTTTCTTTAATTACCATAATTTTCCTCTGCTCTTGGCTATCTTCCTCACCTTGGCCTAGAAGAATAATAATGAAAATTATAACAATGAGCTAACATTTATATAATGTATGAAGAGTTTATATAAAGTGCTTTATATAAATTATCTCCATTTTATAGATGAGGAAACTGAGGCAGACAGCAGTGAAGTGACTTGCCCAGGGTCACACAGTAAGTGTCTGAGGCAGGATTTGAATTTAGGTCTTCAGGTACAACATTCTATCCACTGGGCCTCGTAATTCGTTGAACTTTTCTTGTGCCACGGATCCTCAATTCCATGTTCCAAGTTTCCAGAATTTTATAGGATAATAGGGTCACAGATGCAGGGCTGGAAGAGACTTTATAAGTCATCAAGTCCAGTTCTATTACCCTACCAATGAGGAAAGCAAGCCACAGAGAAGTTAAATGATTTCTCCAAGCTCACCCAGCTAGGAAGTGTCTGAAGCAGAATTTGAACCCAGGCCCAGGGCCCTAGACTCCATCTTCTCCAGGGAGCCTTTTCTGAGCTTCTAAGTTGGTAATAACCTTTCTCCATCCCATCCCTCCCAATTAATCACCTGGAAACTAGGGCATGTTGCCATCTTCTCTGTTGCTGTGGAGGGAACAATGTGTAATGAGGCTGGAGTGGTAGAAAGAGGCCAGGTTGGGAAGGTTTTTAAAATGCCAAAAAGATGAGTTTGTACCAGATTCTTGAGTTAATAGGGAGTGGCTGGAGTTTATTGGGGAAGAGAGGGGGGACATGGGCAGGTGGGCACTTTAGGAAAACAGTTCAGCAGCTGGGCAGAGAATGGAGGGGGAGTGAGGACAGGGAGGGCCAAGACCCAGGAGAGGGAGGAGGGTGCAGGAGTGGTGAGTCATCAGAGGCAGCAAAGGGCCAAGGAAGATGAAGACAAAGACAAGACCGTTGTGTTTGGCCATTGAGATCATTGGTAACTTTGGATGGAGATGCTTCAGTTGAGTGACGAGGTTAGAAGCCAGATTGTGAGGGAAGGAAGGAAACAGGCACTTATTAAGTGCCTACTGTGTGCTCAATGCTTTACAAATGTAATGTCATTAAAGGGAGAGGGGAGAGTAAATAGAAGAAATGCGTGTAGAGGCATGTGGTACCTTTTTCTAGGAGTTTGGCTGGGGAAAGAAAAAGAGATAGGACACTAGCTGGAGGGCCAGTGGAGGGTTTTTAAGGGTGGGGGAGCCTTGGATCTATTTGAAGGCAGTAGAGAAGGCACAAATAGGGAGAGGTTGAAGGTCCAGGAGAGAAGGGGGATGATTGAGTGTGTGATCTGCTGGAGAAGACTGGGGGGAAGGGATCACGGGGTTGGCAAGGAGAAAGGAGGGAGTGAGAGATGGTGTCTAGGGAGAGGAGATACTTGTGAAGCAATCTGAAAACCTTAAAATGCTTTATTAACGTCGGCAGCTGAAGGTGCAGTGGATAGAGTACTGGGTCTGGAGTCAGGAAGACCCGAGTTCAAATCCTGCTTCAGGTCCTTACTTACTATGTGACTCTTTACAAGTCACTCGACCTCTCTCTGCCTCAGTTGCCTCCTCTGTAAAAGAGGGAATAATTGCCCCTCCCTTGCAGGGTTGTTGTGAAGATCAAGTGAGATAATATTTGTAAAGCATTTGGCCCAGTGCCTGGCACACAGTAGGTCTTATATAAATGCTAGCCATGATGATCATGATGATGATGGTGATGAATGCATGTGAGGACAAACCACCCTCTGGTCTCACCAGAGCGGTGGGGAGCCAGAGTCGGGCGTGCTAGGATTGTGGGGGCTCCCCATGGGCCCTTGGGGAGGGCCCCGTGCTGCAGAAATATAGGCCGTCCCCCATTTCTCCCCACTCTGCCTTATCTCCCAGCGCAGTTAGGGTTAGGGTTATGGTTAGGGTTAGGGTTGGGTTAGGGTTAGGGTTAGGGTTAGGGTTAGAGACAAATCTAACCCTAATTTCGTGACTCATACCTCCTCCATACAGCAATGGCGGCTGGCGGGCCTTTGGTGGCGGTGGCTGACTTCAGTCAGAGCCATTGCTGGCTGCCTTGGACATTGTCGAGGAGCACTGGGGCAGTGGGCTGAGAAAAGTTGCTTTTCTCTCTTAGTCTGGAGGGCTTTTCCAGTTCGGGGAGGAGCTGTCTGGTCTCTGAAGGTTTCTCCATCCTGGACACATGGTCCGGTGAATGGCTGGTTCTGGTTCAGGTCCCACCTTGCCTCGGTGAGGCGCTAACTCCTGATTTTATTTTTTTAGGTTTTAATTGACTGGATTAATGACGTGCTGGTGGAGGAGAGAATCATCGTCAAGCAGCTGGAGGAGGACTTGTATGATGGGCAGGTGCTGCAGAAGCTTCTGGGTGAGTGAGACGTGCCAGAAGGGGGTGGGGGCTGCTCTCACAGGCCCATGGAAGAGAGTGGATCCCAGCCTCGGTGGGCCCCTTCCTGACCTGCCTCCTTCCAGGTGTAAAGCAGGTGGAGCTGGGAGGGGCCTCTGAGGCATCAAAGCCAACCTCCCATTTTACAGAACAGGAAACTGAGGCCCAGGAAGGGGAAGTGAGCCCAAGACCACCACTCGGGCCTGGTCTCTCTCCTTGGAAAGAATGATTAGGGCAGTGTTTTTCAGAAATCTTTTTGTCTCTCTCTCTGTCTCTCCCTCACACCTCTCGGTGTGTGTGTGCTGGATATTATATGCTCAGCCTTTAGCTCTGCAGGGGGAGGAGCAAAGCAGTGTGCTGAGCACCGGGCCTTCCTCCTCCTCAGATCTCTCTGCCTTCAAATGTCTCCAGAGGGAGCTCACTAAATCCTCACCTGAAGAGAGATGGTTTTGTCCCCATTTTCCAGGTGGAAGAACTGAGGCATGGAAAGGATTATGGCATAATTTCCATAAATTACGATAATAAGACATGGTATAATAATAATGCATAGAACAACTATAAGAGAACAGTGGCATGATAGTAATTCACCCCAGACAGAAGAAGAGAGGGAGGAAGGGAGGGAAGGAAGGAAAGAAAGAAGGAAGGAAAGAGAGAAAGGAGGGAAGAAGGAAGGAAAGAAGGGAGGAAGGAAAAAGGAGAGAAGGAAGGAGGGGAGCAAGAGAAGGAAAGAGAGAGGGAGGGACAGAAGGGAGGAAGGGAGGCAGGCTAGGCCACAGTCAAGCTCCTCTCCGCCAGCCTGTCTCCTCCTTCACATATCAGCCCAAATGGATTGCCACTGACCCTGTTAGCATTTTGTTCTTCCTCATTTCCGTGGTTTCTCTAAATGTCCCTTGTGCCTGGGGAAGGACTTCCCTTCCTCTGTCCCTCCATCTCTGTCTCTCAGTAAATCTCAGTTCCTTCAAAACCTAGCTCAGATACCTCCTCCTCCATGAAGCCTTCCCTGATGAGGCCCTCTTAGGTTGTGCCTGGACCTCTTCCTTGGCTCTCAGCTGGTATCATGGTTATTTGTAGATTTTTCTCCCCTACACACCACCCCCACCCCATTAAATTAGAAGCTTCCTGAGGGCAGGTGCCTGGTGAATGACACTGCTGCTTCTCAGCCATCTCTGTTGACCTTGCTGTTAGACTGGGAGCCCCTGGAGGGCCGGGACATTCTTCCTTTGTATTTGTTTGTGTCTGGAGATCTAGAGATCCCTGAGGCGCTTGGCCCATACTGAGCGCGTAACAAATGCTTTCCGCCTCATTTAGTCATTACTTCATTCTTTCTTTTGTGTATCCCTCCTCCTCCCTGTTCCGCACTTAGTGGCTCACTGGCCTTGATGATGAGCAGTGAGACAAGAGGCGGTCTGGGGATAGTTGGGCCACTTTCTCGTTTTCCATCCCAGCCGTGATAGCTCTGAAATCATCGCAATCCCCTTCAGGCCTGTGATTCCTAGACTGTGTGTGCCAGCAGCTACCTCACCTGAGTCCTCTCTGGGCTCCTAATAACGCCTCCGTCCCATGCTTCACAGTCCCAAACACGCTCCCATCGGTGGCTCCTGTCATCCTCCCGGCCGTCCTGGGCGCTCAGTGGATCATACCGTGGGTCCCACCTTCTGCAGATGAGAGGCCTCCCCTTGGGGGCTTCTTGACTCGACCCTGTCCTCTCCTGTCTTCTCTTCTGGTCGAACACACCTTAGTCTCCCCCTGGATCTTTATTCAGGTCACACCTGCTAAGGCCAACAGCGGGCATCGGTCAGGGCTCTGACCTGGGCCCTCTTCTCTTCCCCCTTGGTGATCTCATCAGCTCCCAGTTATCAACTCTGTGCTGTTGATCCTGTAATCCACTTATCCGTTCTTAACCTCTCTCCTGACCTCCAGTCTTGCATCTCCAACTATCTCTTGTATTGGATGTCATATAGACGTTTTAAACTCAACATGTCCAAAACAGAACTCATTAACTTTCCCCCAAAATTCTTCCCTTTTCCACACATCCCTATTGCTGTTGAGGGCTCCACCCTTCTTCTAGTCCCTCTGGCTCCCTACCTAGGGGTCGTCTTGGACTTCAAACTCTCACCTCCCAGATCCAATATGGTGCCAAGGCCTGTTGACTCCACCTTTGCAGCCTCTATCAGAGAGACCCTCATCCCCTCCTGGACTATTGTCTGCTGTGGATCTGCCTGCATCACTTCTCTCCTCACCCCAGTTCATCCTCCATTCAGCTACTAAAGTAATTTTCCTAAAATGCAGGTCTGATGATGTCACCCCCCACTTGTAAACTCCCTGTTGCCTCTAGGAGCAAATACAAAATGCTGTGTTTGGCATTCAGAGCCCTTCTGAGCTGGCCCCTCCTGTCTTTTCCATTTCTTATACCTCACTCTCTGACACATAGTCTTTGACTCAGTGATGCCGGCCGCCACAGACCTTCCGTCTCCCATCATTGGACCCTCTTCACTGGCTGCCCCCATAACTAGGATTCTCTCCCTCCTGGTCTCTGCCTCCTGGCCTCCCTGTCTCCATCAGGTCCCAGACAAAATCCCATCTTGTGTAGGAAGCTTTTCCAGCCCCACCTTAATTCTAGCGCCTTTCCTCAGTTCATTATCTCCACTCTATCCCAGGTGTAGCTTATTTGTAAAAAGATTTTGGCTTCTAGTTGTCCTCTTTGGGTTGTGAGCTCTTGGAGAGCAGAGACTGTCTTCTGCTTTTTTTTATTTGTTATTCCTGGCCCTCAGTACAGTGCTGGTCACATAGTAGGTCCTTGGTAAATGCTTGTTGACTGACTGACTGATATTAATTAAACTTCTATATTGTTAAATGATAAATCCCATTTCATGCCAGTCCTTTCCCTAAGGAGGCTGACTACCTATTCAGGGGGATTAGGTGTAGACACACAGAGAGGCCATTAGGAGCCCAGGGTGGTCTGTGGTCAGTGCCTGGTGTGTGTGATAGGCAGTAGAAGGGGTGGGCGGTTAATGCAGGTAAGACCAGTCCCCCAGTGCACTTCCTGGGGCAAGTGAGACTGCAGGGGGCATCTCTGGTTAGGTAGGGCTTGAGTAGGTGGAGAGGTGAAGACATGGGGGACCCTTGGGCCTCAGTGTCCTCTGTGAAATGAGGGGCTTGGACACAGTGACCTCCGAGGTCTCTTCTGGGTCTGGATCTAAGACCCTGCGGCTTCTTTAGTAGAGGGAATTTTCTTTCTGGGAATTCCCTGCCCCAAAGTAATCCCAGGTATGAACCACAAAGGAAAAAGAAAGGCGTTTTTGTTGTTTGAAATGCATCTTCTGGGTCTGTCTTCCATCCCCTCCTCCCCGCCCCAGCAGGTTTAACTTTCCAAGGTTTCGGTCGACCTCCCTTTCTGGGAGGCATCGCAGAAGCATGTTGAGTGACAGAGCCCCCCATACAGTTTTTTGTTTTTAATTGGCCGTTAATAATCCATGTGTGGATGGTCAAGAAGTCATTATTTTGTAGTCATTTTTGAAAATGTTTTTTCCAGATAGCTCTCACTCTGTCACTTTCGCAAGCTGAAGGCAGAGAAGTCCAAGTCTGGGGTGTGTGGGGGGCGCACAGAGATGACGATGGGCCGCCTTGGCCTCCCTTCCCTTCTTGCCCCCTCCCCCTGGACCACTCCCTCCCAGCTGCACAGGCTTCCCAGGTAATTCTGCCTGGGCCCTCTCCTCTCCGCCTGCTCTCCGAAGCCGTGAGATTGAATGAGCCAAAGCCGGCTTTGGGAGTCTCGCCTTCGGTAATTGAACACCAAGCAGATGTGACAGTGTTTGTTCAGCTCAAAGCTCACTCCTGGTAATAAAGCACCCGGGGAGTATCCGGGAAGATCTAATCATTCTTCCTGCTGTGGCAGTGTGGGAGGAAGAAGGTTAGCGGGAGAGGGAAAAAACGGTTTTAAGCTGGTTTTTATTTTCTTTATCAAAATCCTTGCCTTTCTGAGACCCCTCTGGCAGACTCTCTCCAGCCTCTCCCACTTAAAAGACCTTTCTCTTTTGCTGGATTTCAAATTCTTAGTCTTCCTTCTTGAATCTCCCCCTCCCCTTCCTCCCTCCATGTTGGGGCAGTTTTCTAAGAGGGATGGTTAGGAAATGTGTCAAAGGAGGAGCGCTGAATGAATGAATGAACGAATGGGCATTTATTAAGCACCAGCCATGTGCCAGACGTGGCATTAAGTGCTGGGGATACAAATACAAAAGCAGATGGTCGCTGCCCTTAGGAAGCTTACATTCTAATAAGCTCTGACTATGATTTTGGCAAGCCACTTGCCCTTCCTTGGACTCATCTTCTTTGTCTGTAAAATAAAGGGGTTGGATCAGACGGCCTCTAAAGTCTCTTCCAGCTGTGACATTTTGTGATGAGGACGTTTAAGATCAGAGGTTATCAGCTTCACTTCATTGATTGAATGAATGAATGGATGGATGGATGAGTGGATGGATGAATGAATGGATGGATGAATGAATGAATGAATGAATGGATAGATGGATGAGTGGAT